CTGGGTGCGGGTGGGCTCGGGGAGGCCTGGGGCCGCGAGCGCAGGGCTTGGGGCCGGGAGCCGCCGCCGCCGCCGCCGCGTGCGCCCAGCCGGCGCGGGACATGGCGGGCCTCCGCCGGGTGACGGGCGGCTCTCTGTCCTCCTTCAGATGACGAGCTGTTCTCCGACATCTACAAGATCCGGGAGATCGCGGACGGGCTGTGCCTGGAGGTGGAGGGCAAGGTGAGCGGGGCGCCGCGGGGAGGGCGGCCGGCCGGGCGGGCTGGGGTTTGCGGCTCGCCCGCCGGAGCTCGTGCAATCCTCCCGGCCGCCTCCAGGCGGAGGAGACGCTCTTTCCGGCCTTGGGTTTTTCTAGAAAAGTGGAGGCGGAGCCGAGCCTGGAAATAGGTCCGCGAACTCAGCGCCCATCCTCCTTCCGGGCGCTCGGGGACATATTGTCTCTGTTTAGGATATCTTGGCAAGTGTGTGCGCGCTTAACCCCTGGCGGTCCGAGAGCCGGCAACTTCTGGCTTCCGCTTGGTTAGAGTGATCATGGTTTTCGGTCCGGGCAGCGATTTTTGTTGGGTTAAAGTGTTTCAGGGAGGTGACAGGTCGTTGCCGGAGTGTGTAGAAGGTAAGTTGGAGCTGGGTTTTTTTTTTTTTTTTTTTTGCAACGAAACTGTTTTTCTTAATGTAGATGGTCAGTAGAACAGAGGGTAACATCGATGACTCGCTCATTGGTGGAAATGCTTCCGCCGAAGGCCCAGAGGGCGAAGGTACCGAAAGCACAGTAGTCACCGGTGTGGATATTGTCATGAACCACCACTTACAAGAAACCAGCTTCACAAAAGAGGCCTACAAAAAGTACATCAAAGATTACATGAAATCGTAAGTGAGAGATAAGCACCCTGTTTTGGTGGTCAGGGTCCTAGAAGACTTACTGGTGTCTGCTTAGTTCCTTAGTTATAAAGGACTTGGGAAGGGAGGACCTTTTGTTACACAGGGATGGTTGCTTTTCATTAATAGGAGCATACTGGAGCAAGCGGGCCAGCTCTAACTTTGAAGAATAGAAAAAAATTCCTTTTTAAAAGTTAATGCTGCTTGGAATTAAAGTTCTTGAATGGTTTCCTCTGTCACCTAGTAGCTTGTAGCCAGTAGACTTGTTTTTAGGTTGGGGCTTGTATTTTTTTTTTACTTCATGAAAAAAACTGATTTTGCTGAAAATTGAATACTTTAGTGACCTGTTACAAATTTACTGTTTCAGACTCAAAGGCAAACTTGAAGAACAGAAACCAGAAAGAGTAAAGCCTTTTATGACTGGGGCTGCAGAGCAAATTAAGCACATTCTTGCTAATTTCAATAACTACCAGGTAAATAAGTCAAAGAATGATACAATCTTAACCATGGGAACAAAGGAGGCTGCTTTGGTTTGTTACGTCTGTACATGGCCCCGGCTGTCGCGGAACTCACTGTAAGCCAGGCTAGCTTTGAACCCCCTGAGATCCACCCACCTCAGCCTCTTGAGATTAAAGGTGTATGCCACCACACCAGACTAGGAGCTATAATTTAAATTGATGAACATTTACTTTTCATTGAGACAGGGTTTCTCTGTAGACTAGGCAGGCCTTTGAACCCAGAGGTCCAAATGTCTCTGCCTGCTGAGTGCTGAGATTAAAGGTGTGTGCCAGCACACTTGGCTAGTATCTGGAGTTTTTACTTGGCAAAATGTTGGCTTGGAGCCAGGCGGTGGTGGCACACACCTTTAATCCCAGCACTCTGGAGGCAGAGACAGGGGGATCTACAGAGCCAGTCCCAGGACGGGCTCCAAAGCTACGCAGAGAAGCCCTGTTTTGGGGGGAGGGGGCGAGGGAATTGGCTTAGAGCTGTTCTGAATCACCCTTTTGTTTGTTGTTTACTTTGATCTGTGTGAGTATAACAGTCTGATTCTAGGTGTTTGTAACTTGTTTCTTCAGTTTTTTATTGGTGAAAACATGAATCCAGACGGCATGGTTGCTCTTCTGGACTACCGTGAAGATGGTGTGACTCCATTCATGATTTTCTTTAAGGATGGCTTAGAGATGGAAAAATGTGTAAGTATATGTTGAAATTATAGTGTAAAACCAGCAGGTCTTTCAGGTGTGATCTTTGCCATCTACAGATGGTAGGCATGGGTTTTACAGAAGCCCTCTAGGTGGTAGGATCTAAAGAGAATAACGCCTCATACATAAAAGCCTGGAGGTAGAGTAGCTTCTGATAGAGTGCTCAGAGAAACTGGTGAGGGCAGGAAGGCTCTCAAGGTCATCTGTAGGCAAGTAGAGTTGGACACTAGCCTGGAGTAAATGATTATGTGCCCCTTGCCCCACAGTGGGTTCAAGTCCATTTCATATTGGACCACAGGATTGCTCCCGAGTGGACTAAATTGAATACACAAGTGTTTATAAGGAACTCGTGGAGATTTTTGGAGGCTTTTGAGTTGGCTGGGTGGAAGGTGAGCTTAGAGTTATCCTGAAGAAACACAAAGTGGGCCCCCACCCTGGGACAGGTGGGGTGGGCTCCTATTCAGACAGTGTCTGCCGTTTGTGGAGGATGGACTCTGCAGACAGATTGCAGGTGCTGCGGCTTGGTGAGGGTAGTCTGCATCCACTGATAGACCTAGAACAGTTTGTGGTTCTTCTGGTTTGCACTAGGATGCCAAAGAAAATGCTCCCTGCGCTTCCTGCCTGTCTTTGTGGCAGTCCAGATTGAATTGGGGAGTACATTTGTATGGTAGGACAGTTGTGCTTTTGAGCTGGGGGTAGCTCTTAATGCAATCTCATTGTTTTGCAGTAACAAATTGGATCTATCACCTGTCACCATAACCGGCTGCTGCTTACCATCCATACAACACCAGGACTTAGGACAAATGGGACTGATATCATCTTGAGCTTTTATTTTGACCATGATTTATTTGGAGTGGAGACATTGTTTTTTTCTTTTTTTCTTTTTTTTTTTTAAAAAGAAAAAACATGTCATGTAGGTTGTCTAAAAATAAAGTGCATTTAAATTCACTTACAGATGCCTCTTAGTTTAATGTGATTGTGCAGACTCCGTCCTTTAGCGGTGGTGAGAAGAAACTAGAGCCTGGTGGTTAACAGAAAATAACTTCTGCGGTGGGAACTACTTACAAAGCAAGAATCTGAGTTGCAGTGAAGGGAAAGCCATGAAGTGGACCCCTCACTTTCATCACCTCCAGGAAGAACTTGCCAAAAGCATAAAGACCAGCTAGTTGGAAACAAAGTACTGTCTGCTTATTCAGAAGTAGAACCAAGTCTCCTGGGTGAATGCCAGACTCCTTAAACTTGTATAAACTTGGTGGGGAGGGGGTTGGCTTTATTTCGTTTGGAGACGGTTTCACCATGTAGCCCTGGCTGTTCAGCCTCTAGACCTCTCCCTTCTGAGTGCTGGGACTAAAGGCGTGGGCCACCATATATGGAGGACAATGGCTTAGGATGGCTGATGGAATAGGATACGAGATGTGTTGATCCAGTTGGTTTGGATACTGCTTAATAACTTCCCACTCCAGGAGCCAAGTAACTCCAAGGTAAACTGTTCACAAGGAATGCTAACAGCCTTCTTGATAGGGTGAGGTTGGATGAAGAGAACAAGGCTGGGTGAAATGGATCTCAACAAACCTAGACCCGCATACTGTCTGCTGTAAAGTAGGTTTGTCCATGGCTGATTGAGGAGTTGTCTATTTCAACAAAATTTGCATTTATGTGAAGTGCTGGGAAACCCTATAGAGTCCCTTCCTGTTTATAATGTATCTTCAAAAGCTAAAACGGATTTATGATTTGCAATCTGAGGTTTGTCCAGGGATCAAAATACAAAAGTACACTAAATTTAAGGGGGTACTAATACCCCTTTGTGATGGATGGGAAGCCCATATGCTGGATATTATATTTTGATGAAGGGAGGATGTGCCATTGTGATCTAGGAAGCCACTTTGAAAATGTTTCAGGCCAGTTACTGCTGTCAAAACCAGTACACATACCTTGAGAAAACCTAAAACCTAGTTGTGCTAGCTCTAGAGAAGTGAACAACACATTATAGCCCAGAGGCTCTGTAGGGTAGAACCAGAAGTCAGTAATAAGCACAAAGTTTGGGTCCTTTTAAAAGTACATTTTTAGAAATCGTGTGTATGATGCAGATGCTTATGGAGTAACAGTTTCTGTTTTTCCTTCGGAGCTGAGGACCAGGCCTTGCACTTGCTCGGCAAGCACTCTAACATTGAGCTAAACCCTCAACTCCATGGTTGGTTTTTTAAGACGGTTTCTCTGTATACCTGGCTGGCCTGGAACTCAAGAGATCAGCTTGCCTCTGCCTCTCCAAGTGCTGGGATTAAAGGCGTGCACCACCACTGCCTGGTGGTAAGACTTGTTTTGCTTTTGAGACAGCTTTTTACATCCCAGGCTGGTTTCAAATAGCTGAGGATAACCTTGCCTCTGCCGCCTACGATTGTAGTCATCTGCCTCTGTTGAGGAGATTGGGTCCTGGAAATGGAATGTAGGGTTTATGTAGTTATCAAGCACACCACCAACACTGGCTCCATCTTCAACCCCTGGGGCTTATTGTGGGGTTTTTTGGGCCTCTGTAGAGATGGGCCTCGAACTCCAACCTTTTAGTGCTAGGACATAAGGCTTGCACTTCTATCCCAGGCTCCCAATTTCTTTAGAAGGCAGCTTTCTCAGTCATTTTTCCTAATTGATTTTCTAGCTAGTGCTGGAGCCACTTGGAGAAGAAAAACAAGCACCCGAGCTTCCTGCACAGGTCGGGTGTGCACCGCTTGACCTTTCTAACGTTGTGTTTGGTACAGACAGGTTTCAAGTACCCATGGGCCCTGGGTTTTGTTGCATGTGTGGAGAACGATGGGATGGAGAAAGGACTTACAGTGTCAGCTGTGGAAGCCTGTGCAGGGTGCCATTTGAACATGGATGTGAAGGAGTGGCCATGTGGATGTCTGGGAGCAGACCATTCAAGCCGCCTTCATCATCTAAAATGTCTTTATTAGCCAGCTGGTGACTAGGTTCAGGATCCCAGTGTAGCCTCCGAGCCTTTCTCGGGGTGAGCTTTTACACACAAACACAAAAACTTCATTTAACAACAACAGGTAGAGACAGAAACTAAAGAGCAAGGTTAGAGACTTTCCCAGAACTAAGGGCTTTGCTGGATTAGGTCTTTTAGTTTGACAGATGGTGCCATCTTCCATGCTGTGTTTTCCAACCTGAATGGTACTTTCATCATGGAGTCAGCCTTGCTAAGGTCTGGGGACCTACTAGATCTGATGCCTTTACGTTCCCCACTGGTCTCAGTGAATGAGTCAAATCGTGGACCCCTGTTTTAAAGTGGTATAGTTTGCCCTAAGGACCATATATATATACATATATGATTTATTGGGGTGATTTACAGGCTGCATGCAGTCCAGCTAATCCAACAAGTTGTGAACAGAAAGTTCAAGAATCTAGTAGTTACTCGCTCCACAAGGCTGAGTGTCTCAGCTGGTTTCTGTATTTGCTGGAATCACAAAGAAGCAGGCTCCAATGCCAGTGAAGGAATGGATGTGCTAGCAAGGTGAGGACAAGCAGGCAAAGAACAAAACCTTTCTTCTTCCATGTCCTTATACAGGCTGCCAGAAGAAGATGTGGTCCAGATTAGAGTTGTGTCTTCCCCCCTCAGAGGGTCTAGACTAGAAGCGGTTTCACCCACTTCAAACCAAGCAAAACTAACCTCTCACCGGTGTGCCCTCCGTTTCTGGATCGTAGTTCGTTCCAGATGCAGTCAAGTTGACAACCAAGAACAGCCATCACACACAGCAATAGGATCCCTAAATAAGACACTGAGTGCTGGAGGAACATGCACGCTTTTCAGTCCCTGGCCCACTTTCCCTAACTGCTAGATACTAACCAGTTTTCAGTGTCCTTGTCGCCTCCCGGGTGGTCCTTCTTGAGTTGGTGAATTCTCTTCAGGCCTGCTTACTCACATGCAGGGCAGTACTAAGGAAAGAAATTTTCTTTTTAAACTTTTCAGTACTTGGACACTTTTCCAAGTGGGAAATACATGGGAAGCTTCCTTCACTCTTGAGCCACAAACTGATGGATTGCAGTGGATGACGCCCAGTGATGCATGGTTTCCACCATTTTAGAGACAGCAGCATCTTTATCCATGGGGTTGGGTGCTGTCCATAGAAGCCAGTCACCTAGTGTTTTGAAGGTGTGAGCCCAGTGCAACACCCTGGAGACAAATGTGTTATCCCAAACTCCAAAAAGTCCCGGAGTTAGAAATTGAGGTGCCCTGGGGTGCATTCATGCTGACTCCTCAGTTCCATTCTCCTAGCTCCTAGCAAGCATGATTATCTATAGGTGACATGTTCCCTAGGGCTTCTCAGGAATTCTTTTTTTCTTTTTTTTTCCTAGACAGGGTTTCTCTGTGTAGCTCTGGCTGTCCTGGAACTCTCTCTGTAGACCAGGCTGGCCTCGAACTCAGGGTTCCTTCTACCTCTGCCTCCCAAGTGATGACATCAAAAGTGTGCACCACCACCGCCTTTAAGGATGGTAAGGATTTTTTTTTTTTTTGCTTTTCGAGACATCATTTCTCTGTGTAACAATCCTGGCTGTCCTGGAACTTGCTCTGTAGACCAGGCTGGCCTCAAACTCACAGAGATCCACCTGCCTCTGCCTCCCGAATGCTGGGATTAAAGGTGTGTGCCACCATCACAAGTTTAGGCAAGTCAACTAGAGAGTTCAGAATACTACTGCAAACTAAACTGGTAATGAGGTTGATGGTAAAGGAGAGTAGCCACAAATCTCAGGCAACTTGAAGAACTGTAACACATCATCCTTTGAGGACCTGTGTGAGCACATGCAATGAGAGGCCCTGGCTGGGGGGCAGAACACTCTCCATGAAACCTAACCCAGGAGGATTTGAACCAACAAGGACACCACATGGCAGTGATTGGCAGCTTGTAGGTCAGGCCTGCATCTTCCTGGTAGACCACAAGCTTTGGAAGAGGAGTGTCAGCATTATAATTTATGTAATTCTATATCCTTAAGAAATTAGGATGTTGCGGCCGGTGAAGGTGCACACCCTTGATCCCAGCACTCAGAAGGCAGAGGTAGGCTGATTTCTGAGTTCCAGCACAACCAGGGATAAACAGAGAAACTCAAAAATCCAAAGAAAGGAGCCGGGCGGTGGTGGCACAGGCCTTTAATCCCAGCACTTGGGAGGCAGAGGCAGGCTGATCTCTGTGAGTTCGAGGCCAGCCTGGTCTACAGAGCGAGATCCAGGACAGGCGCAAAAGCTACACAGAGAAACCCTGTCGAAGAAAAAAACAAACAAACAAACAAATGGATAAATAAGGGTGTAACATAATGTAATGCTTTTGAGGACCTTTAATTTATATTAATATATAAATTATATATAATTGTATAAATTCATATATGTAGTATACGTAATTTATATTATCTCAAACAAAAATCCCTGAGAAAGATGCTCAAGAAGAAAAGGGTGCTGCACACCTTCCACTGGCTGAGCTAGCTGCTGGGGTAGCTGTCTCCATTAGCAGGTCAGGTCATAATGTTGGCAGTTTATCCAGGGAATCCCTCCAACCCCACCCACTGGTTACATCATAGCAGCAATGATAAGTATCAGCTTATCATGGGGGGGGGGGCATGTTTTGAACTTCTAGGCTATTCCATCTTGTTTATTTAGAGAGCCTGTAGATTGTGGATTTCTGCTGCTACACATGGTTCCAAACAATGGAGAATGACATTTAATAATCTCACACACGGGGCCATGAGAACCTCTGGAGAGGATGTGGTTTAGTCCGGGTCAACATGCCTCAGTTAGAAAAAATGTCAACTATGCACCTAGAGGAGAATTCTTTCCAAAGTAGCTTGCTCAATGGTGTTTCCTCAATTACCTTCTCCAGCTTGAGAGACTTTTCCAATCATTTATGAGTGCATTGTTCTTCTCTGCATATACAGGGTGCACCGAAGGGTCCTCTGCAGAACTTCAGCCTGTGAGTCATAAGTGACAGACCGAATGAAAACTGAGGTACTCAGTGACTCACTGAAGGGCAAGGCCCAGAGAGGACACAAGTCACAATTGTTAGTCAACAGTTAAAAGGCACAGAGTTTTGTTGGTTTTGTATGTGTGCAGGGGACTGAGCCTGGGCAGCATCATTCCAATCAATTATCAATCACTGAGCAACGTCCCCAGCCCCGCGTGAAATATTTTAATAATACCGTTGAGGTACTAGGCATCATTTAGTCCTGAGGTTCTGGTTTTTTTGTTTGTTTGTTTTGTTTTTTTGTAGTTTTTTGTTTTTTTTTTGTTTTTTTTTTTTTGAGACAGGGCTTCTCTCTGTAGCCCTGGATGTCTTGGAAATCAGAGATCCACCTGCCTCTGCCTCCTGAGTGCTGGGATTAACAGCATGCACCACCACCACCTGGCATACAAACATGCTACTAACAAAATAGGACAGAAACCTGTATGTTCAGCTTCTCCTTAGGTCCACAGTACCAGAGACTGAATGGTGAGCCAAAAGAAATCATTTCCCCACAGGGAGGTGGTGGTGCACGATTTTAATCCCAGTACTCGGGAGGCAGAAGCAAGCTGATCTCTGTGAGTTTGAGGCCAGCCTGGTCTACAGAGAGATCCAGGACAGTCAGGGCTGATACACAGAAAAACCCTGTCTTGAAAAGCAACAACAGGGGCTGGAGAGATGGCTCAGAGATGGCTCAGAGGTTAAGAGCACTGCTTGTTCTTCCTAAAGGTCCTGAGTTCAATTCCCAGCAACCACGTGGTGGCTCACAACCATCTGTAATGAGATCTGGTGCCCTCTTCTGGCCTGCAGGGATATGTGCAGGCAGAACAGTGTATCTAAAATAAATAAATTAAAAAAAAAAAGAGAGGAAAAAAAAAGAAAAGCAACAACAACAAAATCTTTTCTCATTTAAGTTGTTTCTCTCAGGTATTTGGTTACAGCAGTGAAAAAACTAACCTACCTCTTGCAGAAAGCAGCAGGGACTTGGAAAATCACAGAAAAGGCTAGTATTCTCTGGACACCCACCTGAAAACAGCAATGCATGCAACTTCACTTGAGCACATCAAGAATTTTCCCGAAGAACTCCTAAGCTGTTGTGTAAGCAAAACAGCCAAACTAATGTTTAACCTAAGGTGAAAACTGGCCAGTTAAAGAGGAAAACTGCTGCACATAAAATTTAAAAAAAGGATACCTTTATTAGCTCCCGGAGGTAAAACTGCGTGTCAGTAGCTAGTGAACGAGCATCAGCTAGAAACTCGGTCAGTTTGAACCTTGGTGTGGCGCATTATAATCTTCCTCTGTCACATCCCAGTGCACCATTCTTCCAATGCTGAGGGCAACTGGAAGTGATGGGTTTAGTCAGGTGGGACGTGTGCTGGGCGATTGCCCTGGGTAATATGAGCACAACGGCAACGCCAACTGCCACTGTCTATTAAAAGGAAAAGTGACTAAGCCGCTGAAATTTGGTTAAGCAATGTGCAACATGCTCCTTTCTGCTCCACAGACAGGGAGGAGGGTGGGGGAGCGTGGGAGCAGCAGGGGCTTGATGGAGGAGTGATAGCTTTCTTCACAATCATAAGAACTGGGGCTGAAACCGGGTGGCAGTGGCGCACGCATTTAATCCCAGCACTCGGGAGGCAGAGCCAGGGGAATCTCTGTGAGTTCGAGGCCAGCCTGGTCTACAGAGTGAGATCCAGGACAGGCACCAAAACTATATGGAGAAACTCCGTCTCAAAAAACAAAACAAAAACATTGTGGCTGAGGCCCTGCTGGCCAAGATGGGTTCACCAGAGAAAGCCTTGTGCCCATGCCTCCATAACCCCCTCTCTTCCACCTTCTTTTCCTTTCTTTTCACTATGGTCTTACTACATAGCTCGGGCTAGCTTCAAACTTTTAATCCTCTCTGCCGCCCAAGTGCTGGGCTGACAGGTATGCATTTTATTTACTCTTTTTTTTTTATTTTTGCTTTTTGTTTTTGTTTTTTTCTTTTCTTTTCTTTTTTTTTTTTTTTTTTTTTTTTTCAAGACAGGGTTTCTCTGTGTAGTTTTGGAGCCTGTCCTGGATCTCGCTCTGTAGACCAGGCTGGCTTCAAACTCACAGAGATCCGCCTGCTTCTGCTGGGATTAAAGGTGTGTGCCACTACTGCACCTGGCTATGCATTTTAGTTTATAATGTGCTTAGTTCCCACAGAGGCCAGAAAAGGGTGTCAGATCTCCCAAGACAGAGTCACAGACAGTTGCTAGCCAGCATGTGGGTGCTAGGAATTGGACCTAGGTCCTCTGGAAAAGCAGCCAGTGCTCTTAATCAGTGAGCCATCTCTAGATAGCCCACTCTGTATATATTTTAATATAAAATTTACAGGACACAGGAACTTTCATAAGGAAATGAGGACCAAAAGAAACAGGTAGAGGTAAATCATTTCAGACTTAGGTTTGGTGAGAAGTGGACAGGTGTGCAGGATGACTGGATGAAGATCATCAGGGTTCCTGTTGCTGTAATGAAGCACCGTGGCCAGCAACTTGGGGAGGAAAGGGTCCACTGAAGAAAGGCAAGGCAGGAACTCTAACTAGGCAGGAACCTAGAGGCAGGAGCTGATGCAGAGGCCATGGAGGAATGTTGCTTACTGGCTTGCTTTCCATGGCTTGCTGAGCCTGCTTTCTTATAGAACCCAGGACACCACCAGCCCCAGGGCAGCATCACCCACAATAGGCGGGGCTCTCCCCGCCCCCATCAATCACTAATTAAGAAAATACCCTACCAGGCCAGCATTGATGGCACATACAGAGGCAGGTGGATCTGTGAGTTTAAGGCCAGCCTGGCTACACAGAGAAACTCTGTCTCTAAATAAATAAGCAAACAAACAAATATAGAAAGAAAGAAAGAGACAGAGAGAAAAAGAGAGAGAGAGGGAGGGAGGAAGGAAGGAAGGAAGGAAGGAAGTGGGGGGAGGAAGGAGGGAGGAAGGGAAACTGCCTTGCATGCCCACGTGCTGTGCTTACAGCCAATCTTCTGGAGGCATCTTCTCAGTTGAGGCTCCTCTCAGAGAAGCGGACGGAAAACTAGACTGCACAAAGAGAGCTGATAGAATGGTAACGGACTGTGGGAAATTTGCAAAGCCAAATTTTACTCCGATTCTCTGTCCTAATGATGGGGGGGTTCTCTTCCTCTGTGCTTCTGAGGGGGGCCGTTCTCTCAAACAGAGGTTCTGTGATTTGCTTCAGGGGAAATGGGTGAGGAGAAAAAGAGAGTGGCCTTGCTGCCATCCATTTTCTCAATGCCAAGGTGGCATCTTCTGGAGTATCAGACCTTTAACCCCATCATTAACATCCCAAGAACACCGTGGAGGCTGGCTCCATGGGACGTGTGAACTGCACAAAAAGCCTGCCAAACATTGCTTAGCTTTTCCCACCAAGTTCTTTGGTAATTTTGCTGAATGTTCTTCTCTTTTAATCCCTTGGCCTGTTTCTGTCAGACTGTGAATGGTCTGAGATTTTACCATTTGCAAGCTAACACGTTACTACGGTTTCACATACATATTTTGACAGGAGACACCAAACTTATGTGTAAAAGACAGCTTATCACTGATGCAGAAGTAGCAGCTGGAGCAGCAACTGGAAAATGTTCCCACACCCTGTTCCTCCACGGTGATGGGAAGGTCAGATGCTACTGCATATGCAGAGGGGTGCACCACAGAAGAGCCACCCCCAAATCAGAAGGCTGGGATTTATAAGGCAGTTTGCACCTTTGTCTCTGATGTCCCCTGATGTCCCAACAGATACATCAGCCTGGAATGAATGGGGACTTACCTCTAGGAGACAGGGGAAGGCAACTGACTTCTTTTGGGGAGGCCATCTGCAAACCTCTTCGGAAGGGTGCACTAGCTTCCAGGACTGTTAGTTATGCTAAGATGTTCAGAAGGCACTAACAGGCCAGCAGGGACGAGGAAAGAAAACCAAAGGAAAGAAAGATGCAAAATAAAATTGCAGATGCCAGGCAGTGGTGGCGCACATCTTTAATCTCAGCACTCAGAGGCAGGCGGATCTCTGTGAGTTCGAGGCCAGCTGGTCTATAGAGTTTTAGGACAACTAGGACTGTTACATAGAGAAACCCTGTGTGGAATGTAATTGACCCCCCCCCCATAATCTTATAGGGAGTGGCACTATTAGGAGGCATGGACTTTTGAAGTAGGTGTGGCCTTGTAAGAGGAAGTGTGTCACTGTGGGGGCGGGCTTTAAGGTCTCCTGTGCTCAAGATCCTGCCTAGTGTGACAGTCTATTTCCTGTTGCCTGCATATCAACATGTAGCAGCTCCTTCTCCAGCATCATGTCTGCTGGCACACCACCATGCTCCCCACCATGATGACAATGGACTAAACCTCTAAACTGGAAGCCAGCTCAATTAAATGTTTTCCTTTATAGGAGTTGCTGTGGTTATGGTGTCTCTTCACAGCAATAGAAACTCTAAGACACCCTGTCTCAAAAATAAAATAAAATTGCAGAGATAACAATACATTTTGCGGCAGGTGGGTGACTCACTCTGGGTGCTGGGAACCAAACTCAGGTCCTCTGCAAGAGCAGTATTCACAGAATTGTCTCCATAACCCCAGAAAGGGTTTTTGGTTCACAGTTCCAGATTATAGCCCATCATTTTTGGGGACACCAGAGAGGTGGGAACTCCTAACATGACATTACATCCATACTCAAGAAGCAGAGAGTGTTGAATGCATGCATGCTCACATTCCTTTGCTTTCTCCATTCTTACCCAGTTCAGGATCCTCTCCCTAGGGAATGGTGCCACCTGCAGGAGGCAGATCTTCCTACCCCCCATGCCCACCGCACAACCTGGTCTAAATAATTCCTTATTGAGACCCCCCCCCTTCCCAGTTGATCCTAGAAAGATAAGAGTCAGGTGGATCTCTGTGAGTTCAAGGCCAGCCTGGGCTACAGAGTGAGTCCCAGGAAAGGCCCAAAGCTATATAGAGAAACTCTGTCTCGAAAAACCAAAAAAAAAAAAAAAAAAAATAGCGAAGAGGAGAAAGACAGAAGAAACACAGGAGGACCTGGGTCAATACCCAACGGCCTCTTCTGTTTATTCAGAAGGGCTTTTTATAACAATGCCAAGGGGCAGGGGAGTCTTGTAGAAGGCAGAACTATTTTAAGCACAAACAGCCTCTGGCCCCACGTTGTTCCTGGTGATTCATTCTACAGGTGTCGCTGAGGCTGAACTGATGTGTATATGTATAGAAATGTATTTTTTTCTTTTTTAAAAAGATTTGTTTACTTTATGTATATTGCAGTGCGTTTACCCACCAGCCCCACAGTTCCCCAGAGTTTTCTTGAGTGCAAGCAGCAGGAAATATTAGAAGGATTTAGATTCTGGAGATAAACAGATAGAAAATAAAGGATAGCCTGGAGAGGGCCTGGAACCTATTCCAATGAGCCCTGTCTGTCTCTGCCCCAGGGTATTTATAGAGACGCCAAGTGGGTGGAGCAAAAGACCTCCCTCCAGCACAGCCAAGTGCAGACCATCTCAGACACCTGCCCTCAGGCCCATGGTCCTAATCATCCTCTCTACGTGGACCTGCTGGGTATAGCCATGAAGAACCTGAAAACGTGCTCCCATGGTATATGAGTGCTTTATCTGCTTGTATGCCTTTATGCCAGAAGAGAACATTAGATCCCATTATAAATGGTTGTGAGCCACCATGTGACTGCTGGGAATTGAACTCAGGACCTCTGGAAGAGCAGCCAGTGCTCTTAACTGCTGAGCCATCTCTCCAGCCCAAAATGTATTCTTTGATGTACTGTATAGTTTGGGATTCATAAGACAGATGGTAAGTGTTCATTTGCAGAGGACTATTTGAGTAAATTATGATATTAAAATATTTTGTATGTTAAAATATGTGGCCATAGCATGAAAAACTCTTTTTGTGCCAAATGAAATCATCACCAAAATGTCTTTTGTGGAAAAAAAAAATCAAGGAGCAAAGTAGTATGTTTTTTTAAAAAGTCAAGCAGCTTCCCAGCACTACCCCACTCTCTAGACTATGCATGTGCTGTCTTTAGAAAGACAAATCAGAACAGAGTAATTCCGGGAAGGAACTAGGAACCCCAGACATCTGTCTGTCTATCATCCATCCATCCATCCATCCATCCATCCATCTATCAATCGTGTGTGTGTGTGTGTGTGTGTGTGTGTGTGTGTGTGTGTGTGTCCGTGTCCGTCCATGCATGCCACTACATGTATGTGGAGGTCAAAGGACAGCTTGCAGGAATTGGTTCTCTCCTTCCACCATGTGGGTCCTGGGGATCAGATGCCAAGCTTGAGAGCTGGAACCTATTACCC